CAGCTGTAGCCTTCCCCCGTCCAGGAGATTCCCACTCCCCAAGGATATGGGGTTGGTACAACTGGGCCGTCCTGTGGTCGCGGTGGGGTGAGGAGGGCGCTCCAGGATGGGTCCCCCCCCAAGGGGCCTCTCGGATCGAATGGCGCCGTGACGCTGCGGCACTAGACCCCCGCGACAGGTGGTGAGCTACCCCCCAGCCGTTCCTGAGTGGGAGGTGTGGCTACAGGGGTCGTGCCCGCGGCCCCACCCAATGCTTACCCAAGCCACCACCACCTTTTCTCCTCCTCCTCCTCTCCTCCTCATCCTCTTCACCTCCTCCTCGTTATCGTGCCGCCATTCCTCCTCTCTCCCTCCTCCTCCACTCCTCCTCCTCCTCCTCCTCCTCCTCCTCCTCCTCTCCTCCTCCTCCCCTCCCTCCTCTCCACCTCCTCCTCCTCCTCCTCCTCCTCCCCTCCTCCTCCTCCTCCTCCTCCTCCTCCTCCTCCCCCTCCCCCATTCATGTTCCTTATGGATGACTTCTCCCTGTCGCACCCCGAGGCCAGTTTTTAGGGCTGGCCGGGCGTTTCGCCTGAGACTTCCTCCCCTCTCATGATTCTGAAGCTTACAAACTGGTAATAGTTCCACCGATGGAAGGCGGGTGGTTTTCAAAATGTGGCTCTCGCCTTAGCGCCGCGCACATTCATTGGAAACAATTGGAAGAGCTTCACGGATTGAGGATAACCCGTTTTCAAAATGTGGTTCTCGCCTTAGCGCCACGCACATTCGGCTTCAAAATTTGCCAGAGTTTCACGGATTGAAGGCGGCTCTTGTTCAAAGTGTGTTTCTTGCTATAGCACCGCGCACGATCGTTCATACAATTTGCAAGAGTTTCACGGATTCCCACGATCAATGTACCAGGAACAACGGTTTTGAAGGATTTTGAATTTTGCGGGTGCGACACTTAGATTGATTCGAGGTGTTGGAGTCCCAAGAATGGCATGATCCAGGGTCGTCAAGACGCAACAGTCAGGTTGATCCGTGGCGTTGGAATCACGAGAACAATGTTTTGACATGATTCAGGGTCTTCAAACGGTTGTCTTCCAAGGAGGCAGATCATACAATAGAAATTAACTGTTGTATGGGGCTCATGAAGAGGGGGCTTGGAAAGAGGGTGGATTCCAACATCGTTGATGGCTCTTGGGTTTACACTGGTCCTCCTCCTCCTCCTCCTCCTCCTCCTCCTCCTCCTCCCCCTCCTCCTCCTCCTCCTCCTCCTCCTCCTCCTCCTCCCTCTCTCACTCACTCACTCACTCACTCACTCACTCACTCACTCACTCACTCACTCTCCTCCTCCTCCTCCTCCTCCACTCTCCTCCTCCTCTTACCCTCCTCCTCCCCCCTCCTCCTCCTCCATCCTCTCCACCTCCTCCTCCCTCCTCCTCCTCCTCCTCCTCCTCCTCCTCCTCCTCCACCTCCCCCTCCTCCTCCTTCACCACTCCTCCTCCTCCTCCTTCTCCTCCTCCCCCTCCTCCTCCTTCTCCTCCTCCTTTCCTCCTCCTCCTCCTCCTCCCCTCCTCCCCCTCCTCCTCCACCTCCTCCTCTCCTCCTCCTCCTCCTCCACCTCCTCCTCCTCCTCCTCCGCCTCCTCCTCCTCCTCCTCCTCCTCCACCTCCTCCTCCCCTCCTCCTCCTCCTCCTCCTCCTCACCTCCTCCTCCTCCTCCTACCTCCTCCTCCTCCTCCTCCTCCTCCTCCTCCTCCTCCTCCTCCTCCTCCCTCACTTCCTCCTCCTCCACCTCCTCCTCCTCCTCCTCCTCCTCCTCCTCCCTCTCGTTGCTCATGCCTCCGTTCCTCCTCTATCCTCCTTGTTCCTCCCCCCCCCTCCCTCCATCCTCCCCGCCCCTCCATCAGCCCCTCCTCACCTCGCGAGCGGCGAACCTATCCGTATCCGCGCCCTCGCGGTCTGGATTCCAGGGCGCGATCCCGCGGATGCGCGGTCGCACGGAGACGCTCTGCGCGGGGCGCGCGCGAAAATATGCCCCCTATCCGCGGGGTCGCAGATATGTCTTCCGCCCACGGTCACCCCTCCCCGTCCCCCTTCCCCGACGACGGCGGCGACAGCCCCAGCCGCGTCGGCGGCGCGAGCGACGGCCGCGTTCGGCCGGGGCGCGCTCCGCGGGGCATCGGTCGGGCAGCCCCAGGTCGGCGAGGAGGTGGAGGCGCTGGAGGAGCCGCGGGCCACGTGGCCTACCGTCGCGGGGGGGAAGGGGGGAGCCAGGGCTCATTTCAGTTCCTCCGATTCCGATTTGGTTCGACCTCGCACCGCCGATGTGGGCTCCGATCTCTCACACTGGAGGCTTCTCGGCCTGCCGATTTCGGCCGATTCGGCTTCTCCCGACTGGGCTGCCGATGTTTGCCGATCCGAGTCACTCCGATCGCCGATCCGACTCATCAACTCGATGTTCGGTTCTGCTGTTGAACCTGGGGCAGCGATAGGGGGGGGATACGGTCAGGAATTCTGGCTTGACGGTTCTGGCCCATCACGCTTCGGAGCGGCACTCTACCCACGTCCCCACTCCTGAGCGTCCCAAGTCCCGAGCCGTCCCGAGCCTCCTGCCCCGCGGGGCGGAAAGACACGCCGCCCGCTCGCAGGGCAGAGCGTGTCGTCGGGCCGCCGCCGCCGCGACACGCCATCCAAAAGTTCCCGACCGTAGGCCTGGGGGAGGAGGCGGAGGAGGAGGAGGAGGAAGAGGAGGAGGACCTCTTCATCCTCCTCCTCCTCAGTCCTCAGTCCTCGGTCCTCCTTCCTTCCTCCTCCTCCCCTTCCTCCTCCTCCTCTTCCTCCCCCTCCTCCTCATCCTCCTCATCCTCCTCATCCTCATCATCATCATCATCATCAGCATCATCATCATCAGCAGCATCATCATCGTCAGCATCAGCATCATCATCAGCATCAGCATCAGCATCATCATCATCAGCAGCAGCAGCATCATCATCATCAGCAACATCATCAGCATCAGCATCAGCATCATCATCATCATCATCATCCTCCTCCTCCTCCTCCTCATCATCATCATCATCATCATCATCATCATCATCATCATCATCATCATCATCATCATCATCATCATCATCATCATCATTATCGTCATTATCATCATCCGTTGTTGGTCCTCCTCCTCCTCCTCCTTCTCTTCCTCCTTCTCCTCATCCTCCTCCGTCTCCTCCTCCTGCTTCTCCTGTCCCTCATCATCAGTATAGTCCTCCTCTTCCTCTTCCCTCCTACCATCTCCGCCTTCCTCCTCCTCTTCCTCCTCCTCCTCTCTCTCCTCCTCCTCCACCTTCCTCCCACCCCTCCTCCTCCTCCTCCTCCTCCTCCTCCTCCTCTCCTCCTCCCTCCTCCTCCTCCTCCTCCTCCTCCTCCTCCTCCTCCTCCTCCCTTCTCGCCATGCTCGTCTTCATCCTCTTCGTCCCTCCCTCCCGTCATCGTCTGCCTTCCGCCCTCTCTTGCACCCCCCCTTCTTCCGCGCGGCCACCTGCCCCCAGCGGAGGATCCCCGCGAGGACGAGAAGCGGAAGCTCAGGCGAATCAAGTTGAGGGCCGCCAGCGACGGCACGAGCCCCAGGGCGAGGGGGAAGAGGAGGATCCGTAAGAGTAGGAGGAGGAGGAGGAGGAGGAGGAGGAGGAGGAGGAGGGAGGAGGAGGAGGAGGAGGAGGGAGGAGGAGGAGGAGGAGGAGGAGGAGGTTGTAGGAGGGGGGAGGAGGGGGAGGAGGAGGAGGAGGAGGAGGAGGAGGAGGAGGAGGAGGAGGAGGAGGAGGAGGAGGAGGCGGAGGAGGAGGAGGAGGAGGAGGCCGCCGTCTCAGGATTGATCCACACGCTTCGCGTTGCCACTCCTGCCGCCTCCTTTTGCAACCAGCCACTCCGACGGCCATGGGGCACCAGTCGCCACCAGTCGCGGTCACATCCCTCCCTCCAGGCTAGCATGTAGCCCTCCTTTCTCCGCGCTCCCCCCCCCCCAGGGCTGCTGGGGGACATAGATACCCCAGCACCCTGGGCCTCCTCTCCCCGTCGTGGACCTCGGTTCCCCAACCCTCTCGTGTGCTGGGTTCTCGTGCTGAACAGAGCACTACGGTATCCACTCACCGCCTCCCCATCCTCCTCCCTCCTGCCTCCTCCTGAGTCCTGCCTCCATGCGTCCCCTGCTCGTGTCTTTCCTACCGGGGGGGCTGCAAAGTGGGCACCTGCCGCTACGTTCGCGGGCTCCTGGGAGGTCCAGCGGGTTCGGGGGCCACGCAGATCCATGAGGGACCTCGTTGCTCCTTGGGTGGCTGCGAATTGCGCAACTGTCGCCACTTTCGTGGGCTCCTGGGAGGTCCAGCGGCTCTTCGGGAGGCTGCGAAATGGGCAAACGTCGCCACGTTCCTGGGCTCCTGGGAGGTCCAGCGGAGTGGAGGACCACACCGACCAAGCCGACACTTCGCGGCACACTCGGGGGTTGCCAATTGGGCAAACGTCGCCACGTTCGTGAGCTCTTGGGAGGTCCAGCGGAGCGGAGGGCCACGCAGACCAAGTCGATACCTCGCGGTGCCCTCGAGGGCTGCGAAGTGGGCAGACGTCGCCATTTTCGCAGGTCCCTGGGAGGCACAGCAAAGGTGAGGGCGGCGCAGATCCATTTGAGACGTCGCGGTTCCCTCGGGTGCTGCAAAATACGGCAGACGTCGCCACTTTCATGGGTTCTTGGCACGCGCGGCGGAGGGGAGGGCGGCGCAGATCCATGTGAGACGGCGCGGCTCCTTTGGGGGCTGCGAACGAAGCAACTGTCGCCACGTTCGTAGGCTCATGAGAGGCACGGCGGAGGTGAGGGCAGCGCAGATCCATTTGAGATCTCGCGGTTTCCTTGGGGGCTGCGAAATGCGCAAATGCCGCCAATCCTCGTGGGCTCTTGGGAGGCACGGCGGCGTTGAGGGCAGCGCGGATCGTGCATATTTGGCGATGTGGCTTTGTATGGGGCGAATATACAAAGATTCGCTTCGCGTGGAGAAGGAGCAGGGTACATCTCGGATAAGTATGTGTACAGTTTCTAGTTTGAGCCCCCCCACAGGCTGACGTTGGCGGATCCACATGTCTGCAGCGTTAGCGTCAGGAGGACGAGGAGTGGAGAGGAGTGGGGAGGAGGAAGAGGAGGAGGACCCGTGTGAATCTAAGAATACGCACCAACGATGTTGCAGTAGCCTTTCCCCCCCCCCACAAGCTCTCTCCCCATGGGTCTCTAGAACAATGTAGTTTCATTGCGGGAAGTGCCCCGTTGGAAGACAAACGCTTGAGAAGTCCCACTCGTGCCAAAACACTGATCGTGGGACCCCAACGCCCCAATTTGACGTGGCCGCCGCGTCCCGACAGCCTGAAATCGCGTCCGAACACCGCTCCTGTGGCTCCAGCACTGCGAATCAACGTGATAGCTGCGTCCTGACAACCCTGAGGAGAAGGAGGAGGAGGAGGAGGAGGAGGAGGAGTAGGAGGAGGAGGAGGAGGATTCTTGGAACGTCAACCAGATGAACCCGAAATTGCTGTAAGCTCAAGTCAAGTCAAGTCAAGTCAAGTCAAGTCAAGTCAAGGGGCCCGTGGAGGCACCTCGCTCCGCAAGCGGAGCCCGGAGGGCGTGGGACACTACGGCAGCAAAGCGCGCACGCAAGGGAAAAGGAAGGGGCAGGGTGCTGTTAGATAAGAACTAGAAAGAACTCATCAGTCCTTCCTCACGAAAGCTAGAGAACGCTGCTCCTCCCGCCGCCAAGAAAAAGGCTCCCGGCTGAGAAGCACAGTCACAGTACTCGTGCCGCGCTCTTGTCGCAGGAGTGAACCGACAGCATCTGTCCCTCTTCGACGTGGCCGCCCACGGCGTCCGCCGGCAGCTGGACGCCACCGAAGACCCTGAGCCGGCCACTCTTGCGCGTCGCCGGCGGCGAGTCGCGCCACGGGGCGCCATACAGTGAGCGGCTTGAATAAGGAACACTTACTTTTCAAAAGGGGCTCGGTCGTTCCTTAGGCTTGCATGCGTTATTTACAGTTCCTTATGCGTTATTTGTTATTTATCGCTCCTTATGCGTTATTCCTTGGGATGAAAAAGTGGCTTCGTTCCTTATGTATCGTTCCTTAGGTCAGGCCGATGACTGTACGGAACGATGCAACACGACTGGCCAGTCCGACACGGGAAACATCCTCAAAGTAGCGGTTATTTCCTGCTTTGTTCAAGTCGGGCGTAGTCAAAAATAGTCAAAACGGTCAAAAAAGCGGAGCGCGCCAGGGGCGGCGCCGAAGGCGCCGCCAGGGGGCCCCAGCGCCGATCCGAGAAATCCGCGCGGACCCCCGAGTTGTTCTGTTTTGTCACTTGTTGTTCCCCTAGAAAAGGAGTTGCCCTCCACCTGCGCAAACGTCGCACACTTTGAAACGCCGAATCATCAACGCAAAAAAAGTCTCGAGCGAGAGCCCAAAGTTGAAGAGGAGCCGCGCTCCATCCGTGTAAGTGTTGCGCGGCGGTCTGCTTCTGACAAGGAGACCGGGGGAGTCACGGCTGAGAGAGCTTCACCTTGAAAGGGAACCGCCCTTCGTCCGTGTAACTGGTGGACTTGTCTCACAGACGAATGTGGGGAGCGCCACATGCTAAAAGCCACATGTTGAAAGCGCGCCACCCTCCATCCGTGTAACTGTTGGGTTCGTGTAAGACACCATAGCGTGGCGACGAGACGGAAGTCCCATTTTAAAACGGCCCGCTCACCGTCCTCGTAACTGTTTGGAGGATTCGGCTTCCAGATCGTGACCAGTGAGGAACTCTCAGGCGAAACGCCCCGTCCGCCCTGAAAACATGTCTGGTGTTGCGACAGGGAAGAGCCAGGTATAGGGATGGAGGCGAAAGAGAAGACGGAGGATGTGAAGTGGCAGGCGAAGTAGGAGGAGACGAGGGCGGAGAAGGGGGATGTGGATAGGGGGGGAGAGGGAGGGAGGCCAAGCAAGGTACACTCGCGCCGCTCGCGCCGTATCTGGCACCGTACCCTTCTCACACAACCTTTCCGATTGCGTTGGTTGTTTCTCTACCCGCGGGCGCGTGTCATAGCGGACCTGGATCTCAGAAGAAGACCACATCGTTTTATGCGCAATCGGGACAGGGCAGTTGCCTACATAGGAGGAGGAGGAGGAGGAGGAGGAGGAGGAGGAGGAGGAGGAGGAGGAGGTGGCGGATGAGCATGAGGAAAAGGAGGAGGAGGAGGAAAGAGAAGGACGAGGACGAACAGCAGCAGCAGCAGGAAGTGGAATGGAAGGAGCGGGAGGAGCAGGAGGACCAGGGAAAGGCGGAGGAGGCCATAGGAGGGGGCCAACAACAAGGAGGAAGGGTTCGGATCCAAAAATAATGGTCTGCGTTGAGGCGAGAGTATCTTCTCTGAACGATGGGAGATAAGCCCCGAGCAGGAGCTGAATTTTGGAAGGACCGAGAACGTTCGGATTCGAGAAAAAAACGCCAGAAGACCACCTCCGCACCACCCTGTGTGTATAAGATCAATACGGAGAAGGGGTCGCGCCACTCCGTGGTCATCCGGGGGAGAGAGGACAGTAGTAATCATTTTGAGCAACAGTAAAGGAGGACAAGGAGGAGGCGGAGGGGGGAGCAAGAGAGGAGGCCAAGGATTAAGAAGCGGAGAAATGGGAGGACGAGGATTAGGAGGAGGCGAAGGAGGGCAGGCAACAGCAGGTGCACGAGTTTTCAGATTGCCAGCTGGAGCACGCAGGCCTTTCGACGGAGGAAAGGCGGAAGAGGAGGGAAGAGGGAGGATGGATGAGGCAAGAGGGGTGAGGGAGGACAAACGAAGAAGGAGGTGGGAGGCGCGACGGAGGCATGTGAGAGGAGGGAGGAGGAGAGGGGAGGCGGGAGGCAGGACGCGGAAGGTGCGTGAGTGGGAAGAAAGTGGAGAAGCACGACGGTGCCGAGCAGGAGGAGGAGGAGAGGAGGAGGAGGAGGAGAAGGAGGAGGAGGAGGACGAGGAGGAGGAGGAGGAGGAGGACCGAGGCGGCGCGGCGCAGGAGCCAGGGGGGGTAGATGCGGTGGACCAGAGGCCAGGGGAGCGGCGATGTCCGCCGAGGCAAGGAGGGCTGGGTGACCATGAAGGGCAACCAGGGCACGGTCTACGTGATGGAGCCGCCCGCTCCCGTCCAGCAGCGAGGGCGCATGCTCCCAGCCTGCCGCCTCGCTCCTCGGTCCCTGCGCCTCCGTCGGCCACAGAGAGAGATCTGCTAGGGGGATCGGGCGCCCGAGGAACGAATGGGTTGAGCAGGTCCCCAAACGCGCTGCTGTGATAGGGGAGGGAAGGTTTATTGTGATGCAAGCTGGAGGGCTGGCGTGCGTCTACGCGCCCTTCGGCGTACGGCTTGTGATTGGGGCCCGCTGCTTGGGGTCCTCCGAAGGCGGCCTGGGACTCAAAACCGGTCCAGCCTGGAAGATGTCGATTCGGAGCTTCAGAGACGGGGGTCAATGCAAACGGGGGTCAGCCAGGGCACCAGTTCCTGCAGGATCCTGCGAAGACCCCCTCTGGCTGACCCTGGTTAGCGAGCCGCTCGTGGCCGCGAGGCGGCCGCGCATATTGGCTGACCTGGGTTTGCGAAGCCCTGCGTTGCAGTTTGTTTCTTGCATTGCAGTTTTTGGTTTCCTGCTGACCCAGGTCTTTGATTGACCCGAGTCAGCAGATCCCCGATCGATGGTTTTGCGGGGCCCTGGAAACATGAAGGGTCAGGTGTCGGTTCGGGCTGGTTCGGCCGCGATCCGGTCCGGTTGCGCTGGTTCGGTTCCGCCGGCGGGCCGGTTTTAGAGGTTTCGGCATGGTCGTTCGGGCCGGTTCGGTTCGGCGGCCACGGAGCGGTCCGGTTTCGGGCTTGCCGGTTCGGCAATGGCGATGTCGCCACCCAGGTACACGCGGGCAGCGGCAAAGTTGTTGCCGAGCCCCGCTTGGCCCTTCCAAGGCCCTTTCGAGACCCTTTCGGGCACTCCAAGCCCTCCAGACCCCTAGGCCCTCCGGGGACCTCCAGATTCTTGGGCTTACTCCATACCGCCGACCCCTTGGGGAACTGGCGGTTGTTCCGTGTTGCTCCTGAGGGCCTTGTGTGCCTTGTGGGCGCTTCTTGGAGCTCTTTTTGGGGCTTCATGGGGGCCTTTTCGGGGCCTCCAGGGCTGACACGCTCAGTACTCGCTGGGCACGCATGGGGGATGTGGCGAGAACCCGCGTATACAGAAAGAGGGCATCTGTCAAAACACCCGACGAATGAATATCGGATTGCTTTCGGCACATCCCGCGACCGTGCTGGGATTGTGGGTCTGGGGCCACTCGGATGGTTGATGGGGTCTCATCGGAGGCGTCTCGGGGGCGTTTTGGAGGCAGTTTTTCCCAACCCTCCTGCATTGGGTGTTCGTTTTGAATAGAACACTGCCCGCGCGTCTTCTCCTTTTCCCACTCCCCTCCTCCCCTCCTCTTCTCTCCTGCCTCTCACCTCGCTCCCTCCTGCGTGCCAGCTTGCCTGCTACCTGGCCATCCCTGGGGGGCTGCGATATGCGAAACCGTCGTCACTTTAAGGCTGCTGGGGGGTGCAGCCAAGTGACTAGACGATCGAGGTTCGAGGGTGATTTCTCCGTCTTGCCATTCCCGCTCTGGCCGCGAATGTTTCGCTATTATGCTGCAACTGCTCCTCATCGAGAGGGCCGATGGCTACGAGGGCCAGTGGGTGGATTATATGCCTGGCAATCCCCCGCGAGTCATCAGTTATCCACAGTGCTTCCTGCAACCGCTCCCCACCTCATTCGCTTCGCGACGCATCCGATGCTTGTGCCTGGGAGGGACCTAAGCGCGCGAAGCGCGCGCGGGGTTCTTGTATACCCATGTGTGTATACATATATATACAGTGGTGTGGTAAACATTCCGTCCCACAATCCCCCAAAAAAACAAGAAAACACTCCGACTGGGACCCACTCAAATTGCAATCGCTCCGCATGGGACATTTCAGATTGTCAGACTCATGGTCGTCATCGTCCTTGTTAACCAATCTCAAGTCGGTGATTCAGTGTGTTCGTTGTCGTTTTGATGCAGCGTGGCCCTCGGCATCCTTACTTACCCGTTACGAAAATTATTCGTTTTGAGCATTGACGATTAGGACGTCACCGAGCTGGGGCCTCCGTTTCCCCCGTGGACTCTTAGCACGACAACCATCGGCCTGGCTGGGCGGGAGAGTTTTCCAGGTTTTCCCGGATGTAAGGTTACCTTGATGTAGCAAATTTAGGATCAAATTTATCCCCCTATAAATTCACACTGTGAAAAGCCATTCCTGGCCGCTGTCGCGCGGCCGTGAATATCTCCCCGCATGGAACCCCAACAGAAAACCACTTCCAGATTCACATCTCACGCGAGTTCCCGTCATGCAGTTCTTAGACAGCATGAATACATGTTCGCAACGGGGGATATATCCCACCCCGCCCCTCCCGTCGCCAATTGGCCATTTGACAGTGGGGCCCCACTGTCAAATGGCCAATCTGGAGCACTGGAATCCCACCCCACCTGACACCGATTGCCACTTTCGGGCGCGCTGGAATCCCACCCCGCCCATCGCCGATGGCCCGTTTGACAATGGTGCCCGAGTGTCAAATTGCCAATCGGGAGGGTTGGGGTCCCACCCGTCGCCGATGGCCCGTTTGACACTGGAGCCCCAGTGTCAAGTTGCCAATCGGGGGTATCGGGATCCCACCCGTCGCCGATAGCCCGTTTGACAATGGGGCCATATTGTCAGTCGGACAAAGATCGTAGCGAAGTTCGAGACCTTTGCCAGGGGGGCGGTAGGGGGGGAGAACAATCTCACACGCCTGGAGAGCCCAAAAGGGTCGGCGGATTTTACAGGGCCCCCCAGCAGGGCCTCGTCCAGTCCTTGTTCCGTTTGTTCGTTCAAGCCTGTTTCGGCATACCAGTTCGGTTCGAACTGGCCGGTCCGGTTCCGACCGGTTTCGTCAGGGTTTTGGTTCGGCGGGCTCGGTTGCAGAAGCCGCCGGTTCAAGGCTACAATTTCGGTCCAGAGCCACATTGCGGAAAACATTACAAGCATGGATTTTGAAAACCCCAGTTCGAGGCAACAGAGAACGGAGAAAGTCTCGCTCTACGACTGCAGTTCTGTTCATGCACGCGCCAACGTCCCAAAGACCTTGCTTACGGGGCCCTGAGCTATGGGGGTCCACGCCCGACAAAGAATTGCAACGTTTCCGCGCCCACTTTAGCTCGAGTTGTCAGGACCTTCGGTGCGCAGCCGACGCCTCGAAAACCCCGGCCTGGTAGTTCTGGCTGAGACCCGACTCGTTCCACCCGAATGAGCCGTTTCGCTGTGGGGCAGATCGATGCCCGAGTGACAAGTTCGTGGGCCCACACGGTGTTGTCAAGCAGCTCCCAGTGAGGCTCGAGTCTACCGAGGTGAGGGTCCACGGGCTGGTCGACGCCGACAAGATGCGGGCGGAGTTCCCAGGAGACGAGTTGGTCGGCGGGAAGGACGTGGTGGCCATCATGTTCAACAAATTCCTGGACACTGACTGCATGCACGAGAGATCCATCAGCTGCCTGCAGAGGGTGGTCTGCAGCGACGCCCCGCAGAATCCAGGGGAGGCCCTGAAGGCCGTCGGTGGCGGCAACGGCCTCTGGGGCTTCCCGAAGCACCCAAAGTGCTGGGAGGCGGGCGGCACGCGGTCAGGGTATGCGTTCGAGGCCTAGTTAGCACCGCGGCAAGAGCGTCGTGCGCTTGGCCGTGCGCCTGCCTGAGGTAGACGAGGGCGCCGTGGAGCTCTCGGTCGAGGTCAAGACCGCGCCAGGCGCCAACATCGGCGGTCCCATGTCCGAGGGCACGCAAGCGCGATGCGCCTCCGCGGTGTAGCGCGTGCAGTTCTTGAAGCCAAGGGACGCCTCGACGGACAGCATCACGTCTGGCGACGACCCGCCGTGCGGCCACAAGATCGGGAGCTGGGATTTCACACCAGCCGTGAAGGTCCGCAGCCTGGACTTCAAGATCTGCGCGCTCAAGCCAGTAAGTTGGATTTCTGGCGTCGACGCATCAGCGGCAGCGCAGGACACGAGCGCCGGCGAGCCGAAGGGCGCGCTCTGAGCGATGGTGAAAGTGAAGAGTGGCCCCGCGGATTCTCGTAGATGAAAATTATTCTTGTCCTTTCCAGATGAGGAGGAGAAGGAGGAAGAGGAGGAGAGTGTGGCTGGTTGAGGGCCAGGTACATACATGTCTCTGTCCACGCTTACCACGGACCTTTTTTGTAGAAAGTTTTGAAGTGCGCGACCGAGTATAATTCTGGGCATGCTCGCCATGTTGTTGTTTAATGAATGGCGGGGGGTGCTGGCTCTCGGTGGCCACACCAGAACCCCTTGTGACAACGTGACGCTCACTGCTTCCCATGCAGGCCGGGCCCCGGCAAGCGGCGGGGCGGCCGCGGACCGTCGGTTTGGCCAGCGGCAGCGCTGATCGGCAGCAACCCGACCCCAAGAGGGACGGACAGGGGACCGACCACGACGACGATGACGACGACGTCAACGACAACGACAACGACAACGACAACGACGAGCGAAAGCGAGAGCGAGAGCGACAGCGGGGCCACGAAGTGCAGGAAGGGGGCCACGAAGGGCGACAGCGGGGCCACGAAGGGCATGCGCATGGGGCCACGAAGGGCGCGATCAAGCGGGGGCCACGAAGGGCAGCTAATGCAGGGCCACAGAGGGCAACAACGGGGCCACTGAAGGTAGCAACGGGGCCACGCAGGACAGCGAGTGGGGGCCACAAAGGGCGGCGGCGGGGCCACGAAGGGCATGAATATGGGGCCACGACGGGCGGGAAAGAGCGGGGGCCAGGAAGGGCATGCGTATATTGAGCTGCAGAAGGCAAGGACGGGGCCACTGAGGGCAGCAACGGGGCCACGAAGGGCAGCGAGCGGGCCACGAAGGGCGACAGCGGGGCCTCGAAGCGCACGCATACGGTGCCACGACGGTCGCGAACGAGCGGGGGCCACGAAGGGCAAATATGTATGGGGCCACGAAGGGCAGCGAGGGGGGCCACGATGGGCTGCAACGGGGCCACGAAGAGCAGCGAGGGGGGCCACGAAGGGCTGCAACGGGACCACGAAGGGCCGCGAGGGGGCCACGGAGGGGTGCAACGAGGCCACGAAAGGCAGCAAGGGGGCCGCGAAGGGTTGCAACGGGGCCACGAAGGGCAGCGAGATCCCGATGTCTAAATCAGTTGCGAGGGAATCCCAAGCGTGAGCGCGACTCTTGGGTGCCTGACTGTCGGGAGCGCGGCGCTTGAGTAAATTGCGGGGAACCCCAGCGCAAGAGCGCGATTCGGGAGTAAAGAGCAAGTAGGTCAACAGCGAGAGCGCGACTCCACAGCGCCGAGAAAGCGATTCCTGAATAATTTGTAAGGAAGTCCCAAGCGAGAGCGCGATTCCTGAGTAAATTGCGAGGAGTTATCAGGAGGGAGCGGGGGTCCTGGCTAAATTGTCAGGAAGCCTCAGGCGGGAGCCGTTGTTGTTGTTGTTGTAATTCAGGGGCCAACGACCCAGTTTGAGCCCCGTGACTTCCCTTGATACAACACAAAAAAAGTGTGCGAGCCCCGGGGGGGGCACCTCAATTCAAAGCACACTGGTCACCGGAGGGGGAAGCAACCATATTTATTCTTCACTAGTGAGAGTCCAACAGCAAGAACAAGAACAACAACAACAACAACAACAACAACAACAACAACAACAACAACAACAACAACGATAACGATAACAACAACAACAACAACAACAACAACAACAACAACAACAACAACAACAACAACAACAACAACAACAACAACAACAACAACAACAACAACAACAACAACCACAACCACAACCACAACCACAACCACAACCACAACCACAACCACAACAACAACAACCGCAACCACAACCACAACCACAACAACCACAACCACAACCACAACCACAACCACCACCGCAACCACAGCCACAACAACAACGAGAATCGCAACAATTGCAGCAATTGAAACAGCAGCAGCAACAGCAACAGCAACAACATCCCAACATAGAAATGAAAAAGGTAGAAAGAGAGGAGGAGGAGGAGGAGGAGGAGGAGGAGGAGGAGGAGGCAGAGGCAGGAGGCAGGACGGAGAAGGAGGAGCAAGAGAAGGAGGAGCGAGGAAGAAGAAGGCGACGGTGATTGGGGGGACGTCGAGCTGGCGGGGGAAGAAGAACGACCGCAGAATCAGCAGCAGGAGGAGCTCCAAACAGAGATTGAGCAGGAGATGAAACGATGGAAGGTCTCTTAGAAGCAGGGGGAAGCGAGGTGCGTGGGCGGGTGACGTTGGCGCCCCGTTCGTCCCTTCTCTAGGCATCATGCCCTCCCATCCCTCCCCATCGCCTCCACTGTCCGTCCGCATCCCTCCCAGCCTTCTCTAAGCTCGCCTCTCCCTCATCCACCCCCTACCGCCCCTCTCCCATCTTCTCTTGTTCCCTCTCCTCTGCCCCATCAGCCGCCCAACCCCCTTTCTCCCGCGCCCACTCAGAGACCCTACCCCGTTCCCGTCCCCTCAGTCTCGCTTCCCTTCTCCCCTCCCCATTCTCATCTTGCCTCCCTCCTCGCCTCTCCTCTTCGTCCCGCTAGTCTTCCCCCCCACCCAGGGACCCCCTGGGCCTCGTGAGGGGTGCTCCGGAGGCCGTGGGGGACTCCTTGGAAATCCTGGGGGCATTTGGGGCCAGGGACATTCTTCGCAACGCCCGAAGAGTGGGGCGAGGGCTCGGGGGGGGAGGGTATCATGGCCAGGCCCATGAGATCTCCCCAGATCTCATGGCCCCCTCTTATTCTGTCAGCACGTCCCCTCCCCCCCTCGTCCGCGCACGCGCCCCTGGCCACGAGATCTGCGGGGCAGACCCCCCCCCTCGGGCACCCCCGAACTTCCAGAGTCGATGCCGACT